GTTTCTCAGGAGAGAGTTTTGCCCACCAGAGCTGCTCAAAGCGGCTCGCATTGCCCTCAGAGAGGGTGAGGAGTGCGGAGAATATGTTGCCAGAGGCCTCCTGCCCTTGATATCCCCGAGGAGGATCACATCCGCTTCGTGGGGTGTATGCCTGGATGGCTCTTCGAGGGAGAAGTTTGTGTGGCCGGCTCCTCTTTGTTTACCCAGCATGGTCGCCTGCGCCGCGCGGTATGGGCTGTCACCAGCTGCAACAATGATGGCTCGTTCAGATGTGGAATGTATGGCGCCGTCCCGTTGGCATGGTCTTTGACGCAGTCCCCTAGGGACGCGGAAGATTATGCGTTCCACATGCTGGCGCGTTTCTCGGTTGACCCTGCGAGCGACGGGTCCCTGACTGTCTTTTCAGACTGCGCTGGGGCCATAGGCTGTGCCAGGTGCGCCTCGAAAGCGCTGGGCCTCATGACTCCCAACAGACATGTTTGGGAGAGCTGGTGGCGAAAACACGGAGAACGTGCGAGTGTGAAAACACGTCATGCCACACTCGTCGGCATCTCAGGATGCCTCCTTTTTCGATGCATGGTGCAGGCTTGGCAACAGTCTCGCGGACCGCTGGGCCAACAAAGGGGCCCTGCTCTGGAAGGTGTCCCCCCAGAAGGTCCTCTTCCCTGAAGCCTGTGAAGACATCGCTGCCAAACTCGTCCATTGGATAGGTCTTGTGCACGCCTGGATAGGAGACCGCGAGGCCTGGGACACTGAAGGTGTGGTAGGCACCTCGGATGTTGTCCTTGACCTAGAGTATGATACTGAAGACCGTGACACCGCGGTCCTCGAGGCAGCCCTCACGACCCGCGAGAGGCTAGACTGGAGGCTCGCCGCCCCTGCCCCGCTGCCATCCGAACCCGAACCCGAGCCGACCGATGTGGGGGGCGTGGATGTGGGGGTGGTGTCTGGGAGGCCGTGGCAATTTCAAGGGCACTCGGTGGTGAAATGTCATGTGGAAGGTCCCGGTCACCCGTGCTTGCTTTTTTTTGCAAAGTCCTGCGGGGCCTCGCTGGCCCAGCGAATGGTGCCTGGGAAGGGCATTGCTGGGGCCTGCCGAGGCCCGAGGCACCCTGGCCTTCGCTCCCAGAGGTCCCGTCTCCGTAGGCACCTCCACCCCTCGACCCTCCATCCTCCTCCGCGGTTTTCTGCTTTTAGAGGCCCCGAGGAAGAGGACGTCTTGTGGCTCCAGGGGAAGCTGGGGGGGCCTGGCGGCGGTGTTGGGTCCTCGGTTGGGGGTGGGCCCTCGCTGGGGCCCGCTGGCGGGCCCCCTGGGTGCCCTGCGGCCTGCGGCTCCCAGGCCCCCACGAGTTTCCATCAGTACGGGGCTGTGGTCCCCGTACTGGACCTGGGGCGAGTTGGTCGCCTGCGTGGGTTCGCCTCGCCCGATTCGGCGGTTGAATGGGCGGAGCACTGCAGGCGAGTTAAGCTCGAGGCCGATGCCGCCAGGGCCTGGCCACTAGAGGGCGTCTAGGCCCTTTCTCGCCGCTTCGGCGGCAGGCCGACTTCGTCCGCCCGACCCCTAACCTAACCTAACCTCCTCCTCCTCCCTCTGTCCCTCTGTCCCTCTGTCCCTCTGTCCCTCCTCTTCCTCCTCCCTCTGTCCCTCCTCCTCCTCCTCCTCCTCCTCCTCCTCCTCCTCCTCCTCCTCCTCCTCCCCCTCCTCCTCCCTCCTCCCCCTCCCACCTCCTCCCCCTGTGCCTCCTCCCTCTGCCCCTCCTCCTCCCTCTTAACCTGCTCCCTCCTCCCTCTGTGCCCTCCTCCTCCTCCTCCCCTCGCACTCCGCCCGCTCCCGCGCCGCTCCCTCGAGACCCTTCCCCTCCCTCCCTCCCTCTGCTCCCCCCCCCCCCCCTCCTCCCCTCTGCTCCCCTCCCCCCCCTCCCTCCCTCTGCTCCCTCCTCCCTCTTCCTCTCCCCCCCCCCCCCCCTCCTCCCGCCTCCCTCTTATCTCCTCCCTCTCCCCCCCCCCTCCCTCGCCCCACTCCCATCTACCTACTGAACTCTCCCCTCCCCGATCACACCACTGGTCCTCCTTCCCCTCCTCTCCCCCTCCGTCTCCCTTTCCCCTCTCCGCCCCCCCTAGAAGAAGACACACGGCATAAACATAAACTTTCGACAGTCCGCGCGGATTTCTTGGATCTGAAATCCGAGCGGCGAAGTCCCCAGCGCGGTTCCAAGAATTCCGAGCGGAGCGCCGAAGTTTATGTTTATGGCGTTGTTCCTTCTTCGACCTCCCCAACCGCACCACTTGCCCTCCCTTCCCCTCCTCTCTCCCCCTCCTTTCCTGTGGGCCTCCTCGATGGGGTCGGAGTAGATAGGGTCGGGGGACCGCGCCGCATCGCAGAGACGTCGACGATGCACCGGCGATGCATCGTCGACGTCGGCGATGCATCGGCGACGTCGACGTGAAGCACATCGGGCTCTACGTGGAGCCGCATCGCCGATGGGCCCTGCGGAGCGCCCCTCCGACCCCACCTGCGCCGACGCCCACCTGGGAGGCCTGGAGTCCCCCTTCCCCCTTCCACCTTCCCCTCTCCGCCCCCCCGCCACCCCTCCCCTGGCCTCTGAGTCTCGTGTAACCGATCCCCATCCCCAGCGGCGTGGCCTGGGCCCCACTGGCCGACTCACCCCCTGGATGGGGATATAGGCCGTCCCCTTCGGGTTTCGAGGAGTGCATCCCCAACTGGGGGGGTAAGTTGGTGGGGGCGTCGAAGGGGATGGCGATGGGGATGGGGATCGGTTCAACGATACCGAGCCTCGTCCCGTGGCGCGCAGGCTCGCAGGAGTGTGCCGCCCGCGCGGGCGCTGCACGCCAGAGCCGCTGCCCCCCGCGGGCCTCCGGCAGGACCTCTGCCGCGCCGAGACACGCGGCGCGGCCGGGGCAGCCCGGCAGCCCTGCTTGCGCTGGCTGGGCGCCCGAGGCCGAGGCCTCCCAGGTGGGGTCGGAGCAGACGGGGTCGGAGGACCGCGACGCATCGACGATGCATCGGCGATGCAGCGGCGACGCAGCGGCGATGCATCAGCGACGTCGGCGTAGAGAACGTCGGCCTCCGCATCAAGCCGCATCGGCGATGCCTCGCCGCCGCGGCGCGGTCCTCCGACCCCATCTGCTCCGACCCCACCTGGGAGGCCTAGGCCAGGACCGATCGGGGATCTCCTGACTCCTGACCCGGGTCAATCCAGACCCGGGTCAGTCAGGCCTGTAAGATCCTGCAAGATCCTGCACCCAAACCCGGGCCAACGCAAAGGATCCTGCAACATCCTGCACCCAACCCAGGGGTCAGTGCACCCCTGGCTCTGCAGGATCCTGCAAGATCTGGCGCCCTGGCTGACCCCCGTTTGCATTGACCCCCGTCTCAGGGCTCCCGAACCGAGGCTGGGCACGGAGTGGGCGTGTCCTCAGGTCCTTCGCCTAATTCCTGGACCGGAGGAGGATGAGGAGGAGGAGGAGGAGGAGGAGGAGGAGGAGGAGGAGGGGGAGGAGGAGGCGAGGAGGAGGAGGAGGAGGAGGGAGGAGGAGGAGGAGGAGGAGGAGGGGGGGAGGAGGAGGAGGAGGAGGAGGAGGAGGAGAGGAGGAGGAGAGGAGGAAGGAGGAGGAGGAGGAGGAGGAGGCGGAGGAGGAGGAGGAGGAGGGGAGGAGGAGGAGGGGAGGAGGAGGAGGAGGAGGAGGAGGAGGAGGAGGAGGAGGAGGAGGGGGAGGAGGAGGAGGGAGGAGGAGGAGGTGTTTGCATCCGCGTCCACCGTGCCTCGGACTTTCTCGGAAGGGGCGCCTCAGGGCCGAGGCGCAGCGGGCAGCGGCACGGGTCTGGCCCCCCCCCCCAAGAGCGGCCAGGCTCTGATGCACACCCGCTGCGCCTCGGGCCTCTGGGGCAGGGGCCCCGAGACTCCAAGACGCAGTGGGTATGGATACGCATCTGGCCCGCACTCGAGGCCGAGGCAAGGCCTGAGCGCGCAGGCGTGGTCGCCCCCGTAATTCACAGCACTGCCGACGTGGAGGAGCAACAAAAAGGTCCAAACACGAACTCTTGGAGGCCCACGCGGATTTCTTGCATCGGCGCTGGATCCCCCTCCCTGCCGCGCGGAGCGTGCCGGGGGCGGCGCCGGAGGCGCCGCCTGGGGAGCCTAGCGCCGATGCAAGAAATCCGCCCTCCCCCCCTCTAGCCCCCCTCTGCCTCCTCCCTCCTCTTCCATCCCCCTTCCTTATGAACAACTCCCCCCTGTCGCACCCTGAAGCCGGTCGAAACGGCGGGCCAGGCGTTTCACCTGAGACTTTCTCACCATTTGCGATCCCGCAGCTTGGAGTGGCAACAGCTTCACGTATGGAGGATGGTTTTCGAAACGCGGCTCTCGCCTTAGCGCCCCAGGCCCATTAATTTAAACAATGCATAACATGCTTCACGGATAGAAAGCGAGCCGTTTTCAAGATGTGGCTCCCACCTCAGCGCCGCGTTCATTCGTCTAAACAGTTTGCAAGAATTTCACGGATGGAGGGCGGTTCCTTTCCAAAATGTGGTTCTCACCTAAGCGCCGCGCGCATTCGTCTCAAGAGCGTTCCACAGTTCCAATGATTCTGACTGTTAAGGAGGTGTCAGGAGAGGTATTTTGGTACGATGTCGGAATGCCAGGGCGCAAGCGGCTCGCTGGTTCGCGGCGTCGAGGTCCCAAGAACGGTGTTCTGGCACGATTCTCAGGATCGCCAAAACGCAACAGAAACGGTGATTCGCGGCGTTGAAATCCCAAGACTCCGTGTTCTGGCACAGTTTCCTGATTCTCACATAGCTGTCTTCCAACGAGGCGCTTCCCTCAATGAAACTGAACCCTTTGCAGGGGCCTACCAAGAGGGAACTTGGAGGGAGGCTGTATTGCAATATCGCTGATGGGACTTGGGTTTGCGCTGGTCCTCCTCCTCCTTCTCCTACGATGGCGGCGACGTCGAACGGCGCGCGGGGGCCCCGGGACAGCCTGATGAGCGTGCATGCCGCACTCGGTCTTGTTACCGCTGTACATGAAACGGCCAGCCCGCTCAGCGTCGCCTTCTCCGATGGCCCGGGTGTTCATCGTGTCTCCTCGGGGGGTGATCGAGCCTCGAGCCTCGATCATCGAATATCGAGGTTCTGACGTTCTCTGTCTTCGAAAGCCGTCGTCGCCACGGCTACCGTGGATGTAAAGAATTAACGCGAAATCAATTCGTAACGTTGAAACTCGTCATCCACAGGCCACGAGCTCCAGGCTTCGGCAAAATCTCTGGCAACCAATGAACATTTACAAAATTAACGCGAACCACGGACGCACTTTTTCTCACTCCGTGTTCGGTTACGCTTAGGTTGTGATCCATCTCTTTGCATGGCGGAGTTCCACGTTACGAACGGGTTTCGCGCTAATTCTTTACAGCCACGGCTGGATCCGCCTATCGTTTGCTGCCCAACTTCGCACATCGCGTCGCGCGAAGCGTGGTACTCCAGATTTCGTCATAAAGGGAGGGGGAACTCATTTTGGGGGGGGGTGTCTTCCAGGCTATCCTGGAGGGCCTGGGGGGGTCTGGGGACGATGTTTTGGAGGGTTCTCCCACGGGGGGGGTCTAAAACTTCTCGTCTGGGAGGGTTGAGACCCCCTCCCTTTTATTACGAAATCTGGGAAGTGGTCTCCGGAAGCGGGAGGATGGTGAATGGGGGGTGTCCTCCCACAGGCGGACTTTTTGGACGAATGCCGAATCGTCGAAAAACATATCCAGAAGAGGCAACAGATGATTGGAAAAACCCGCCCCCTGGCTTTTTGCACAAACATGTGTTGGATACTCCTCCTGTGCAAGGACACGCCTGATTTACACGATGGGGCAACGGCCCCTTCGCCTGGGACGCGGCCTCCGGAAGCGGGAGGAGACCCCCCTTTAGTAAAACGTGGTTTAGCGAAAACGACCTGAGGCCAAAACCTGGTGGGCGAAAGCCTGGAAAATAACGGCCGCGGCGCCCTCTCGAGAACCGAAAACGGACAATTCACTAATCGACGTGTCACTGTTGGGGGTTCTATCCACCCCCCAGGCAAGTTTACTTACATGGACGGGGGGGGGGCTGAGCCCGAAGCAAGCCCGGGGGGGGGGGGGCGCGGAAATCACGCAAGTCGAAAGGCACTTGCACGCTAGTATTCGCTTGAAGAGGGGCGAGGGGGGCCAGGCCAGATTGGCCCTTGGGGCCCAATCCAATCTGACAGTCTGGCCTTCGACTACCCAGAGTGGGGGGTGCACGATGGGGCAACGACCACGAAAGAGAACACCAAACCCCGACCTCTCGAAACACACCGTCGCCCCTCCCAACATATGAACGGTCCGTGATCCCGACAAAAAGCGTGGATCGGCATCAAGTATGCTACCCATCGTGAACAGCAGCTACTCGAGGACATTGAGAGCATTCCGCCTCGTCCACCTGAATGAGGTGGGTGCGCCAAGCAACACTTAGATAACTCGGGTGGGGGGGAGCAAGGCGGGTCGACCTACGTGGATGAATTCGCCAACCGCTGGGGCGGGATGTTGGAGACGCCTTCCCCCGCCCCAGCCTCTCAAAGAACATCGGCCTTCAGATTCTTGCTCGTGGGGTGGGCGAGAAGGCCAAGAGTCTTGGGCAGCGCCCGGGCCACTAGATGCTCCAGGGCAGTGTTTAATACATGGGGTGTTTAAACTTATAGGCTTTTAAATACATGATTAATATGTGGATGAATGTATGCGTGGCCTCATCGTTGTTTTGAATACTAAATCCCTGCATGTTTCATACATGATCCGCACGCGGAGCATGTATAAGAAACGGCACTGTCTGGCCACGCGCTTCCCAAACCACGACGTTTCGCAAACTCCCGCGGGGCCGTGCTGCCGCGGCCGCGAAAAAAAGCTCTGCAGACGGTGCGGGCCCGCCCTCCGGAGGCCGCGAGAGAGCCCTCGCAGCAGCAGCTCCTCGCGCTCGGGGCCACACGACCGCCCTTCAAGCACGGCTGGCTTCTGCACTCAGGGAACCGATGGCTGAATCCTAAAAAACCGATCCCTTGTTTTGGAAGTTAGAAAAATCGCTCCCTGCCGTTTCTGAATACAAAAAGCCGATCCCTCGCAGAGGCGGACATCCTCGCTCTTACGGCCACGACAGCCTTGCCAAGCACACTGCTGGCCCAGGCCCCCGCGCGTCGCAAGACCTGTGGTACTGTGCCGCGTCCCCGCTCGCAGGGAAGTGGTCCACCATGAGATCTGCGCTCCCAGGTGAGCGTTTCTGTTGGTCGACCCAGAAGGGGGTCCAGCTGAAAGAGGGTGGTGTACTAGATTTGGGCAGTTGTGTTGCTAATGTATTGCTCCGAAGACTTGCATGGCACCGCATTGCGGCGAATGCATTGCACGCGAAAATCCAGCAACACATCTGCGCCCGGGAATGTATTGCACGCCCCAAATGTACTGCAACCCCGCAAATGTATTGCAACAACTTTATTGCGCCACCCCCTTGTCGCTGGACCCCGTTTTGAGTCAACCCGAGTTTTTTATTCGGCGTTTCGACATTGCTCACGCGTTGGCAGAACTGGGTTTAGTGGGACCTGGTTTAGTGATGTGTACTTGGGGACGCCCTCCCAGCCCCGTTCCACTAACCGGAACTGCCATCACCTGGAAAAACACAAGCTACGTCAGACCTGGTTTAGTGATTCTGGCCAATTTAGGGGCTCTGTGGCCCTACTACTAAGCAGGTCCCCTGACCTGGGGTCCTGGCTATACCCGAATTGGTTGGGGGAGGAGGCGGGGTCCTGGCTCCGAACCTCTGCTTGGTGCGACTGTTTGGGACCGTGCGTCCTATGGGGAAGACTCCACCTGCTCGAAAGAGGCGGCGCCAAAACCAGCCAAGATCTAATACACGGGGTGGGGGCGAGGGCCCGCACCGATCGGCAAATTAATACAAAACGCTGACCTCTTGTACGCCCCGATCCGGGCACAACGGAAAGCGCTGCTGCTGCAGCCGCTCGCTGCTGCTGCTTGCTGCCGTTGACGGCTACCTGCTGCTGAGTATAGCGATGCTGGCAGGTGCGTGCTGCTGCTGATTGCTGCTGCTTGCTGTTGCTTTCTGCCGTCTGGGCAGTGGCTTGCTCACTTCGCGTTCCCCTTCAACATGGCTGGCCGAACTTCAAGCGCATTTTGCGACTTGCCTGGCCTCTTGTTGTCTGGGCCTCCGGAGAGGTAGGAACACGGGTGGCCACTGCAGCCGGCGACACACAGACTAACCAATACGATTCACCCCCTGTCCGTTCCATGGTGCCCTTCCGGCGGACCACTTCGGAACGCTGGCTTGTCCTGTCGATACCGCTCATCCAACTACTTACTAATAGACTGATTGCGACGTGGCTTAATAAATGTCAATGCGGCTGACAAGCTCTGCCACAACAATTCGCGTACTTCCTCCGTGAACTGCTGGCCGCTGCCAAAATCTAAGTTGATCACGGTGGCCGCTGTATCGTCAAGCGCGTCGCCAGCTCCATCATCCCAGAGTCCGTGAATGCATCGTTGCTTTCGAGTCCAAGGTCGACGTGGCTCGCTGCGGCTGGCAGGCCCCTGCGTAAAGGCGATCAAGTATCAACAATTCGTGTGTGAACTTCTCATGTCCTGTGATATTGAAGGTCGCCTTGGCCTGCAGCTGACGCACACAAACCTCGAGCCCATCGTATGTAAAAATATGGTTGCTGCTAAAAACCATGCGGACGCCGACAGTAGTAGATGGCAGACGCTGTGTCAACTCATCCAGAGCAAAGTCCGTGGACATGTTGTTGCCACTTGAATCCAAGTCAATGCGAGTCGCATCAGCAGACGCACTTTCACTTTGCGCAATGACCTAACAACCGTCGCTGGTGATCCGATTTCCCCCCGAACTTTGAGCGGGCGTGGGCCACCGAAGCTGGCAAGCCCCGCGCCGAAGCCACAATCCAAAGGTCTGTGAGGGGTACACCTCTCTCTCTCTCTCTCGGAGGAGGAGGAGGAGGAGGAGGAGGAGGAGGAGGAGGAGAGGAGGAGGAGGAGGAGGAGGAGGAGGGGAGGAGAGAGGAGGGAGGAGGGAGGAGGGAGGAGGGAGAGGGAGGAGGAGGAGGGAGGAGGGAGGAGGGGGAGCAGGGAGGAGGAGGGAGGAGGGGAGGAGGGAGGAGGGAGGAGGGAGGGAGGGAGGAGGGAGGAGGGAGGAGGAGAGGGAGGAGGAGGGAGGAGGGAGGAGGGAGGAGGGAGGAGGAGGAGGAGGAGGAGGAGGAGGAGGAGGAGGAGGAGGAGGAGGAGGAGGAGGAGGAGGAGGAGAGAGGGAGGAGGAGAGGAGGGAGGGAGGGAGGAGGGAGAGAAGGGAGAAGGAGGAGGAGGAGGAGGAGGAGGAGGAGGAGGAGGAGGAGGAGGAGGAGGAGGAGGAGGAGGAGGAGGGAGGAGGAAGGAGGAGGAGGAGGAGGCGGAGAAGGAGGAGGGAGGAGGAGGAGGCACAGGAGGGAGAAGGAGGAGAAGGAGGCACCTGGGTGTCCACCGACCCTTTTCGTTATCCGCATCGTGCTCCTCCCGACTCGTTCATGCTCCCGTCCGTGGACTGCAGGCGTGCGCTCGCAGGTGCCCCATCGAGAGGACAAGGAAGTAACAACTGCTCTCCTCCGGCCCCACGGCGCCGCACGGATGCGACATGTGTAGGAAAACAGAAAATGGCATAAACATAAAAACTCGGAGGTCCGCGCGGATTTCTCGGATCGGCGCTGGGGCCCCCCGGCGGCGCCTCCGGCGCCGCCCCTGGCGCGCGGAGCTCGCCAGGGAGGAGGGTCCAACGCCGATCCGAGAAATCCGCGCGGACCTTCGAGGTTTTATGTTTATGTCACTTTTTGTTCTCCTAATGTGGGGTCGAGAGTTTGGGATTTCCGCGTCTTGGGAAAAAACGTTGGGGTCCTCTGGCCTCATCCTTCTCCTCGCTCGCTTGCACTCCCGTTCGCGCCTCAACCCGCAATGCGCCCGCTCGGTTGTTGGCATGTGCCCTCCCACCTCATCCACCGGTCGGTCCTATGCTGGCGAAGCCCTTGTCGTGCAGGGGGTTGTAGGCCAAGCCTCGTGACCGGATGTAGTGCCAGACCTCCTCCAGCGTCCAATCAGCTGACGGGCGCCGCGCCGATCTTTTCGCGCGGGGAGCGGCATCCTGGCAGCCTTCTCTCCGAAACTTGCTGCTAATGTTTTGTCTGAATTTTCTGTCATCCCGCTTCGATGTCTCATGCAAGCCTCCCTTCCCCCATCCATCCCCTGTGCTACCTCGACGGAGCTGCTGTAGATTCTCCACGCCTCCCCCCCTCCCCCTTCTCCCTCTCCCTCACCAGCCTCTGCCAATCTCCCCTCCCCCACCCATTTCCACCTTCTCCCGCTCTCCTTCGCATTCTACCTTTCCCCTCCAATCAGATCACTCTCAACGCCTCTCACATCCACTTTGCTTTCCCATGGGAGGAGGGAGGAGCAAGGAGGAATATATCATGACCCTGGATTGCGGAGACGCCTGAGATGCACGGCGCAACGACAGCAAAAGAACAGGAGACGGATGCCCAAACGTTAGAAGGAGGGGGAAAAGCGCAGCACGGAAGGGACGCAGGATCCAACAGGCGACGGAGGGGACGACAGGACAACGACGCAGGAACCATAACTCTACAACGCAGACAGGAGGAGAGCGACCCGTGAGGACTGCGACACGACAGGAACGGGGAGGAGGAGGGAGGGGGGAGGAGGACGGCAGGAGGAGGGAGGGGGGAAGGAGGAGGAGGGAGGGAGGAGAGGGAGGAGGGATGGGGAGGGGGGAGGGAGAGGGAGGGGGGGAGTAGGAGGGAGGGGGGGAGGACGGCAGGGGCCCTCCCCCCTTTTGAGGACCCCTGGAGCTGCCCAGGGCCCGACGACCCACTGGACCACCCCCCGCCCGACCCGAAGACCCGATGAGGAGCGATCCAGGATCGGTCGGGACACCCTCCCCCTCCTCCTCCCACACCTCCTCCCTCCTCGTTCCCCCCCTCCTCCTCCTCTCTCCTCCTCCTCTTCCTCCTCCTCCCGTCCCCCTCCTCCTCCTCCTCCTCCTCCTCCTCCTTCTCCTCCTCCTGTTCCCCGTGTCTAGAGGGGGTGGGGCGCACCCCCTCCCTTCGGGCTTCATTTAGCCTCAGGTCGGGCATGTCCCCTGAAAAGGGGGATGTTGGACCAAACATGAGGAAACAAGCGTACGCAAACATAGAAACATACTCAAAACATAGTCCGCGCACACTATTGCTTGACCGTTTTTGGAATTTCTCATGTAGAGGGACAGGCCCGACTTAACTTTCGCGGGCGAAGAACGGTGTCAAGTAAACTTGTCCGTCGCCGGGAGCGCTGCCCCGTGGCGTACCTTGACGTGCCACCGTGAGGGTATGAACTTTCCAGCCGCCCTGGGACAGGCGCCCCCGACAGCGTAAACAAATATTTTATACCGTTCTTCGTCCGTTAATTCATGTGTGCTTTTCCGATGTTCCTCGACGCCCGCCCCACTGAAAGTGGAGGGTAAACCAGGGCCTTCGGGTTGGGTTGGGGCTGTTTGGTGGGCGGTGAAAGCCTCCCGGACCCGCCAAAGCCTTCGGGGATCTTCTGACCCGGGTCAATCCAGACCCGGGTCAGTCAGGCCTTGCAAGATCCTGCGAGATCCCTGCACCCAAGCCCGGGTCTGTGCGACCCTGGCCCTGCAGGATCCTGCAAGATCCGGCGCTCTGGCTGACCCCCGCTTGCACTGACCCCCGCCTCAAGGCTCCCGAAGCCTCCTCGCTCCTCGCTCTGGGAGCAGAAGCCGTGCTCGCCCAGCCCTCACGAGCACCGCTTCCGAGGACGGGAGGGCCCGTGCGGCCCAACCTAATCGGCAGAGTCCTGTGTGCCTACTTCGAGTTTCTTAGGAAGCGTCGGGGGGGCGTCACCCCCGCCGACAGCCCCACATCGACCCCCGTCGCGGGCAGCCACCGCGCGGCGAAGGCGCTCCGACCCCCGCTGCTGCGCGACGACGAGGCGAGGTTGAACCCCGTCGGGGGGGAACTACCCCCCAACGCTTACCGAGAAACCCGGAGTATCCGCAAGGGCCATCAGCAACACGCTGCAGTCCTCGTCTCCCCGGCCTCCCGTTGGGCCAGGGCCGCGGGAGCGAAGAGCGTCACCCCGACCCAAGGCTCGGCGGCGAGCCTGGGGGGGGAAGTGAGAAGGGGCAGAGGGGTGGGCCTTCTCGGAAGGCTCGGAAGTCCCCTGGCCCTCTGAGAAGCTTCCTGAGCCTTCCCCGAAGACGCAGAGGCCTTCTCAGAAGGCGCGAGGGCTTCTGAGAAGTCCGTCCACCTTCTGAGAAGGCCTTCTCCGTCTCGCTTCGCCCCCTCGCTCGCCGCCGGAAGCGCCCAAGACCGGCCGAGGTATATGCTGTTCCAACCTACTTCAGCCTTGATTACCAAAGATAAGTTCGTGCACCAAGAAAGTACCGAAACTTGATAGTTTTCACGTGTCGGGCCCTGGGAGGCGATACTCGTTCGACACTGTTTCGACACTTTTCTGGGTGCTCGAACTTATTTCTGGGATGTGGTCCTCAAGCACGCTGGGAACAGCATAAGCCGAGGGCCGAGCCAGGAGGGCAGGTACAGAGAAAGACCGACCGCCCTCGCCAGCGGGCCGACCGAGCTGGACCTCACCCGCAGGGCAGGGGTGGGGAGGAGGAGGAGGAGGAGGGGAGGAGGTCGGACGACGCGGGGACGGACTTGCCGGAGGTGATTGCGCCATGCTGCGCCGCTTCACCTGATTTGTTCTTTCGTTTTAACCCCCCATTGACATCATCCGCCCAGAGTGAGTGAGTGAGATGAGGAGGAGGAGGAGGAGGAGGAGGAGGAGGTGACTGGGGAAAATGACGTCTGGCCCCCTGGCCCCCCTGCATCCGTCAGTGTCCCCGGGCCATGGGTTCCAAATTTATTGGGGCCGCCCGCCCTGGAGTGCGTGATCGAACCCGAGCGAGGCTGCGCGCAGGATCACGTGGGACGCACAAGGACATAATTACTGGTACGATATGTCCTCCTTGGAGGCGTGCGTCCGACCCGAGCATGTAGAACACCCATCTTGAGTTGTATCATTCTCGAGCGGCGTGTCCAGAGAGCGCCCGCCATGCCGCATATACTAAGATTTCTCGGTGCGCACTGGAGGGGGCGACACACACATAGTATTAGTATGTTGATGTGACGCCGAGCACGGGCACTCATAGGAGAAAAAATATGGAGCTCGACATCGTGCCGAATCGGTCGAACCGAAATGGGCCCTGTCAGGCGGTCCACCATGGCGAAAGACACCAGTCCATTCCTTCTCCCACTCCTGCTCGCTCTTCTCCCCCATTGGAGGCGCGCGCACGAGTGGGTGCGGGGCGATACTAGCGGCCTTCCAACGCGGCAGGCGGCTTCTGAGATGGGAAGCGAAAGACCTGAAGAAGGCTGCTCGGACGGCGAGAGGGCTTCCAGTAGGCCCCGTGCCTTCCTCGAAGGCCGCCTCCCTCGCCCCGTCCCCGGCCGAACTCCGCTCAAACCGATCCCACCACCATTCAGGAGGGGAAAAAACACACAGACACAATGAATCGTCGCTTCCCCAGAAACTATTGGGAAAAATATGGGAAGTGGGGGGGACGACAAAAACCAAGAAAATATAGGAAAATATGAGAAATCCTGTCATTTGTGTGTGTGTGTGTGTTTATTTGTGTGTCCCAGGGCCCCCTCAACTCTGCGGTCCTCCGCCGGCGCCCGCCACTGCCCACAGGGACCCATGGAGGGTGGCTGCGGCCCACGTGGCGCGACAAGCAGTCCCAACCCTTCCTCCTCCTCCTCCTCCTCCTCCTCCTCCTCCTCCTCCTCCTCCTCCTTGCCGTCGCTCGGACGTCCATTCCCTGTGCTGTTTCAGTTTCGTGCGTGGCTTCTCCGCCAGATGATCAAGGATATTCCTCGATGGTCCTCGCCGAAAGAAAAATGCACACGTCCGAGCGATGCCAAGTAGTTTCCTCCGCGCTCTCCCCGTCTGCGCCTTCGCACGGACTGTCAAACACTGCGGGGGGCGACCGTCGCCTCGCTGGCCCCGTCTCGCAGCTCCTCTGCTCGTGGCGCGTGGCCGTTGTTCGAGCCGCGCCCAGCCGTGGCGACGAAGGGGGAGCCCCAAAAGCAAACCCACTGAGGAAAAAACGAAGGGGGGGGCAGAGGAGCACATTGCTCCAACAAGGCACCCTGACCCCACTGGCCCTGTGGGCAGGGGTGGTCTAGCGCGTTCCATCGTCCACTTTCCCTATTCCCCTTTGGGGGGGATTTTACGGGGCATGCTCGTGGGTGTCGCGAGAGCACTTCCTATTCCTTTTCGAAAGGGACGGCGGGTGTGTCAGCATCTGGTATGCTGTGCGCAGGGCCACCACCACTGTCAAACAACAATGCAAACTGCAAGTCGCGGCAAAATCTTGATCATGCGCGGGCATCCTGCAAGTAATTACTCTGCATTGGTTTTTGACCAGGACGGCTGGGGCGCTGGCGTGTTGCATCCTGTGTGTAGGTCCACCTGACATCATGATGGCCACTCCGCCGCGATTTGGCAATGGCTTTCGACAAGGATGGTGGGGGCCGACACGTTGCCCGATGTGCGCGGGCGCACCTGGCACACTGCGCGTGCCCCGAGCGTGGCCCACCTGGTGCGGCTGGAGCATGCGGCCCACTTGGCGCACGTGGAGCAGGTGGCCATCTGGCGCACCAGGCGTGCCTGGAACGCGGGCGTTCCCCGAACCTGGCGCGCCTGGTGCTGCTGGAGCATGCGGCACACTTCGCGCACGTGGAGCATGTGCCGCATTTGATGCGCGTGGCGCGCCTGGTACGTCAGGTCCGCGTCGTGCCGACTTCGGCGCCGGTTTCTGACACCGCGGGGATCGTTCAGCCTCGAACGATCGGCCGCTTCCGGAGCGTCCAGTCCACATCTACCGATTCATTCTGGGTCGCCCGCGGCGTTCAGCGTTTTGAACGCCGCTGGCGGGGTCGCCGCCGGTCGACACGACACGAACCTACCGCACGCTTGGGCTTAGGTCGGGCCTGTCCCCCTACCGGGGGATTTACGACGAAAAA